GACTACTCTATCCTTCCATCTATATCTAGGACGTCCCTTAGGTCTCTTCGTATTTAGTCTTCATTTCGTCACCTGTCCAATTGGACCCTCCGATCTTCACACGTGTCCAGCCCAGCTCAATCTACTTTTTTTTAGAACTGCGATGATATTTGCATCTACGTATAGGTCTTGAGTTACCAATATTGATATATGGCTTTCCTGACGGTAATGCATTACATACTCTGTCCAGTTCATCATAGAAAGCATTTTTTAATTCTTCATTTTTATCCTCTGTAGGTGCGTAGCAATTTACTATTATAATATTAAGCCATTTGCATTATACTCTCAATAACATATTCTATCACTTATTGGTTCAAACTTGACAAAACCTGGTAAAACTTTGTCTTTAATAACAAAGATTACTACCCTTTCGTGTTTTTATCCGCCACTGTAAAAATTTGGGTTTCCTTGGGACCTTATACTACCAGTTCCGCCCCACCTTACTTCTTGAACTGCCGTTATATCCATAGATATATAATATTCATATTTGAGGCCCTTGTGTTTTCGCGGTCCTGAACTGATAAGAAATTGAGACCGTTTGTTTACATTTCAATTATGATAAGAGCATAATATACTGTTTTAGCTTCGATGCGAAGCTGGAAGTATTAATTTTACTATGATGTGTTTTTTTTCTGTGTCTGTTACTACTCTTTCTCAGCTCTCACTGAACTGATTTCTTTTAACGATACGTCAAAAGATCACAAATCGTATCTAGTTGAAGACATTACCCTCAATAAATGAAAAAATTTTCCTTGTTCCCCATAAATAGGGGCAATCTCCAAAAAAATTACAAATTTAAAAATCGCTAATTTTCGACACTTATTCAATTTTTTTTATAAATAATGCTATAATAATTATAAATTATTATAGCACATTGTCACAAATATAGTATTAAAATGATTTTTTTTCCAAATTTTATTATTATGTTAGATACATATAAATAGTTCAATAATACGTAATAAGGTTTGTGTTAATCGCCGAGCGCTTATTTTGTTGAAATTATTTTTAGATTTATTGGTATTAGCGTATTCTAATTTCTAAGAACTAGTCAGCAGCGATTACGTTAGATAGACAGCCGTCGATTTGATCATTAACTACAATAACAATATTTATCATAATTGTAGACTATTTGACGCGTGAAATTTCGTTTGTTTAATTCAGTCCGTTTGATTTTGTCGTTGTGAACGTTGTACTGAATACGTATTTACTACTTTGAGTAAAAATCTGCAAAATGAGTCAAAAACGAAGCAAACCCGCTGGTACTTTACTTAACTTTATCAGTATTAAACCGAAAATTCCAAAAATTAATGATTTGCCCAATCCTCAAGAAATATTTGCTTCGCCGTCACAAACATCTAATACTACTGGTAATTATCAACATTTTTCTTCTTATGATATATCATTATTTGTCGATAAAAAACTCAACGACCAAGAAAAAATTCAAGTTTTGCAAAATGTTTGGGTCCCGAATAATAATTTTAATTTTCCAATTCAACAAATTGGTAACCAAAGTAGAAAATTCAATATACTTTGGTTAACTAAATACAAATGGCTAACATATTCAAAAATTGAAGATAGTGCTTTTTGTAAAGTTTGCGTATTATTTTCACCTTCTATGGCGGGTTACAGTTCCAATCAATCACTTCATACATTTGTTAAAAAGGGATTCAATAATTGGAAAAAGGGCTTAGAAAAATTTGAAAAACACGGTACTTTAAATTATCACAAGGAAGCTAATTTAAAAGCAGATAATTTTATGGATGTCATGTCAGGAAAAATTTTATCGATTGATAAACAAATCGATAAAGCTCATCACCATCAGGCTTTAGAAAATCAAGAAAAACTGAAACCGATAATAAAAACGATTATTTTGTGTGGAAGACAATGTCTGCCACTTAGGGCACATCGAGATTACGGAAAGTTTAACGTAGAACAAGTGTAATAAACCAAAAAGAAAAAAAAGAAAAAAAGAAAAACTTGAAAAGTAGGAATTTAAATAAAAATGTAAAATTTGTAAATGGTAGGTAGGTTTATGGGGGATTAATAATGGAGGATAAAAATGGTGGTGATGTGGATTTCACTATTGAAGTTGTGAATGCTTATATTGTACCAAGAGAAAATCTAAGGGTTTATTCTTAGTCAGACCAAAAATATAATATAGCGTAAGTATGGCCGAATAATAATAAAAATCATTAAATAAGATGGTAAATGGCGGAATAACACATGTTTAAATGTGGCAAGATATGTAAGGGTGCAAAGAATATAATAATATGAATAAAGAAGAATTCAGAGGGTTGAATAAACGGAACTTAAATACATGAGGGTAATGATCAAATAAATAAAAATGCACACAAACGTTGTGACAAAAATAATGAACTGTTCTCGGGGTTGAACAATATTGAATAAATGAAGTCAATTATCCTACAAAACTTTATTACCTATCTTAATGGTTTATTACGCAATAGAATATTTATAATTTGAAAGCGGAAATTTAAATTTGTACTTGCCTCGTATCCCACGTAATGTAATGCCTTTTTTAGACAATCCAATGTTGATTATGAGTTCACATTATGTTTCACACGTTGTACACTTCGAGTTCGACAGTAAATATGTCTGTTTGAGAATAAAGCGTTTAATTATAAATAATGCGAAACCGTTACACAAAATCTATGACTGTATTATTATATGCAAGAGATTCTATACACTCTATATTTTTATGATTATAATTAAATAATATATCTTTAGTTAACTTTGTAGAATGAGTATATTGTTTGAGAGATTATATTTTATTGAGAGATCGACACCAATATTTCTTAAATTTTCCTCTGGCCTGGCCAAAACAAGATTCAGAAATATTTATATCTATGTAAAAGATTTTTCAAGGCGGAATTGTGGTGGCCCAATGTGTCCCGGTGCTAAAATAAAGCACCTTGAAAGGATGCGGCACAATAATCACCAAGACAAAAATTAAACACTAAAAACATATATTTGTAAGTTTCTCTGTGCTGTCTGCCGGCGCGATGTTCGTTAAAACAAAGACATTAAACCACAGAAGATTAGCTACCCAATACACATAGGCTTACAAATATATTCTAACCTAACACACCTAACTTTAAAAATCTTTAATTGCAACCTTTACTCTGTCTGCCGGCGCGATGTTCGTTAGAACAAAGACATTAAACCACAAAAGATTAGCTACCCAATAAGTATAGAGTTGCAATACACTTAGTCATATAATAAATATTTATCATTAAATGAGAAAATTAGAGTTGATTCGATTTATTACATATATAAAAAAAAATGTTTTGTTTTAAAATATTAATTGATATTTATTTCCATGGTAAAATAAAACATTATTATTTAATGAACAATTTAAATTAAAATAAAAGATTCACCAAAACAAAATTCACTTTAAAATCTCTAAGTGTCATTTAGTTTTAAAGAAAAATATTCTAAGTCCAAATAAATTAAAAAATA